CACTACATTAATTACTATAGTATATACTACAGTTTTTTTACTACAGTATTTATACTATAGCTAACTGTAAATACTACAGTATACTACAAGAAGTACTACAGTATTCACTGTAGTGTTTTTGCAGACTTTGCAGACAATGGGTGGGAGACACTGCCTTAATTGGGTGTTTTTATTTCAGCTAGGTCTGTCCACAGTGTCAAGTTCACCTACTGTATTTGTATTTATTATGGATCCGCATTAGCTGTTGCCTCCCCATCCTAGCTACTGTTATATCAATATGTTTTTACCATGACAGGTTTTTTATTTTATTTAAATTTTTATTGGGGGGTAGATCAGCTTAATATTGCAGATAGATTGTAACTTCCATCAATGTAATTGTCTGCATCACTTCCAATCCCCCATGTTTAAAAAAAATATATATACAGTGGGGAGAACAAGTATTTGATACACTGCCGATTTTGCAGGTTTTCCTACTTACAAAGCATGTAGAGGTCTGTAATTTTTATTATAGGTAGTACACTTCAACTGTGAGAGACGGAATCTAAAACAAAAATCCAGAAAATCACATTGTATGATTTTTAAGTAATTAAGTTGCATTTTATTGCATGACATAAGTATTTGATACATCAGAAAAGCAGAACTTAATATTTGGTACAGAAACCTTTGTTTGCAATTACAGAGATCATACGTTTCCTGTAGGTCTTGACCAGGTTTGCACACACTGCAGCAGGGATTTTGGCCCACTCCTCCATACAGACCTTCTCCAGATCCTTCAGGTTTCGGGGCTGTCGCTGGGCAATATGGACTTTCAACTCCCTCCAAAGATTTTCTATTGGGTTCAGGTCTGGAGACTGGCTAGGCCACTCCAGGACCTTGAGATGCTTCTTACGGAGCCACTCCTTAGTTGCCCTGGCTGTGTGTTTCGGGTCGTTGTCATGCTGGAAGACCCAGCCACGACCCATCTTCAATGCTCTTACTGAGGGAAGGAGGTTGTTGGCCAAGATCTCGCGATACATGGCCCCATCCTTCCTCCCCTCAATACAGTGCAGTCGTCCTGTCCCCTTTGCAGAAAAGCATCCCCAAAGAATGATGTTTCCACCTCCATGCTTCACGGTTGGGATGGTGTTCTTGGGGTTGTACTCATCCTTCTTCTTCCTCCAAACACGGCGATTGGAGTTTAGACCAAAAAGCTCTATTTTTGTCTCATCAGACCACATGACCTTCTCCCATTCCTCCTCTGAATCATCCAGATGGTCATTGGCAAACTTCAGACGGGCCTGGACATGCGCTGGCTTGAGCAGGGGGACCTTGCGTGCACTGCAGGATTTTTAATCCATAACGGCATAGTGTGTTACTAATGGTTTTCTTTGAGACTGTGGTCCCAGCTCTCTTCAGGTCATTGACCAGGTCCTGCCGTGTAGTTCTGGGCTGATCCCTTACCTTCCTCATGATCATTGATGCCCCACGAGGTGAGATCTTGCATGGAGCCCCAGACCGAGGGTGATTGACCGTCATCTTGAACTTCTTCAATTTTCTAATAATTGCGCCAACAGTTGTTGCCTTCTCACCAAGCTGCTTGCCTATTGTCCTGTAGCCCATCCCAGCCTTGTGCGGGTCTACAATTTTATCCCTGATGTCCTTACACAGCTCTCTGGTCTTGGCCATTGTGGAGAGGTTGGAGTCTGTTTGATTGAGTGTGTGGACAGGTGTCTTTTATACAGGTAACGAGTTCAAACAGGTGCAGTTAATACAGGTAATGAGTGGATAACAGGAGGGCTTCTTAAAGAAAAACTAACAGGTCTGTGAGAGCCGGAATTCTTACTGGTTGGTAGGTGATCAAATACTTATGTCATGCAATAAAATGCAAATTAATTACTTAAAAATCATACAATGTGATTTTCTGGATTTTTGTTTTAGATTCCGTCTCTCACAGTTGAAGTGTACCTATGATAAAAATTACAGACCTCTACATGCTTTGTAAGTAGGAAAACCTGCAAAATCGGCAGTGTATCAAATACTTGTTCTCCCCACTGTATATGCCATATCTTTCTAACTGTGCTCCTTCACAAAAACTCCCAACCTACAACCCATACACTTATTATGGACACAGCGTGCCTACATTATTAGTTATCTTGTTATTGTTTGTTGTTAGTTGTTATTAGTCCCATCCTTCAATTCCATTCAACACCTCCCATCTATCTTTTAACACCATCCATATAGGATTTCTATTTGCCATATATTTTTCAACTGTACTGTGATGTCTTACAAAAGTTCTGAACCTTTCTATTCTCATTGTTTCTACAGATTGTGAATTAAAAATAAACAATTTTGCTAATAGTATTATTATGTTATTGATCGATTGACTATTACTTTTCAGATCACCCAGTAGTGCTATCTGCAGGGTTAGCTCCAGGTAAATATTGCAATCCTTTAGCCATTCCTGGACCTGTGTCCAAAAACAAGCTACAAATGGACAGAACCAAAACAAATGATCTAATGATTCTGTCTCTTCGCAGCAAAACATGAGCTTAGTTAAACTGTCTTACTGGAAATATAAGCTTGTTTTACTCCACTGTTTGTAAACAAACACTGTACAGCCTCAAAACATGGTTCAAACTATTATGTTGATCTCATAGATGGTCAGTCGTTGCATCCATAACTCCGTCTATGAATTTGAGAGTGGTTCCATTTCTCCAGCCCCATTGCTCAGCTGTTTACATAAAAAAGTGGCGGGGTGGGCTTTGTTGTTGGTTCAATCCCAAATTGCCCCTTTATGACATACAGTATGAATCAAAGTTCACAACAAGTTCTAATACATTTTTTAAAAGTTAAAATAAATCAATAACTTGTATTTTATTTAGTATTTTTAATCAAAAGATGACTGCATAATTTTGAAAACACCAGTGCCATGGTCTTGTATCAACAGACACACGTTATTAACACTATATGTCCAGTTATAAACCTCTTATGAACATTATTAAGTAGTTTGTTTTAATAAATATATGAACTTATAAATACTGATTGATAAACAGTTTATTTACTAATTGTTAACAAGCTATTTAATAATGTCTTATAGATTATAAACAGACATTAAGGTAGGGTCCCAAATTGCACCCTATTCCCTATACCGTGCACTACTTTTGACCAGCGTCCATAGGTCTATATTGAGGATAGGGTGTCATTTGGGATGCATCCTAGGTCAGTGTTTACCTGATCACTCATAATTTACATAGGAACAAAACATTCAGAGGCTATGGGGCTGTCCCATTCCAACTGTTCACTTCAATCTAACAATAAGTAAATAAGAATATATCACAATCCCTGGCCTGAGATTACAGCATCTATATCACAATATCTTATTTAGCAAGTGTGTTCATTTACAGAGATCATTCCTAGTACCTTTGTTCACCGCTGTCCAGCTGCCCTGATTGCAATGAAATTACTGCTAAATAATCTATATACACTACCAGTCAAAAGTTGACACATCTACTCATTCAAGGGTTTTTCTTTATTTTTACTATTTTCTACATTGTAGAATAATAGTGAAGACATCAAAACTATGAAATAACACAAATGGAATCATGTAATAACCAAAAGAGTGTTCAACAAATCAAAATATATTTTAGATTTTTCAAAGTAGCCACCCTTTGCCTTGATGACAGCTTTGCACACTCTTGGCATTCTCTTAACCAGCTTCATGAGGTAGTCACCTGGAATGGATTTCAGTTAACAGGTGTGCCTTCTTAAAAGTTAATTTGTGGAATTTCTTTCCTTCTTAATGCGTTTGAGCCAATCAGTTGTGTTGTGAAAAGGTAGGGGGGTATACAGAAGGTAGCCCTATTTGGTAAAAGACCAAGTCTATATTATGGCAAGAACAGCTCAAATAAGCAAAGAGAAACGACAGTCCATCATTACTTTAAGACATGAAGGTCAGTCAATACGGAAAATATCAATAACTTTCTTCAAGTGCAGTTGCAAAAACCATCAAGCACTATGATGAAACTGGCTGTCATGAGGACCGCCACAGGAAAGGAAGACCCAGAGTTACCTCTGCTGCAGAGGATAAGTTCATTAGAGTTACCAGCCTCAGAAATTGCAGCCCAAATAAATGCTTCACAGAGTTCAATTAACAGACACATCTCAACATCAACTGTTCAGAGGGGACTGTGTGAATCAGGCCTTCACGGTCGAATTCCTGGAAAGAAATCACTACTAAAGGACACCAATAAGAAGAAGAGACCTGCTTGGGCCAAGAAACACGAGCAATGGACATTAGACCGGTGGAAATTTGTCCTTTGGTCTGGAGTCCAAATTTGAGATTTTTGGTTCGAACCGCCGTGTCTTTGTGAGACGCGGTGTGGGTGAACGGATGATCTCCGCATGTGTAGTTCCCACCGTGAAGCATGGAGGAGGAGGTGTGATGGTGCTTTGCTGGTGACACTGTCAGGGATTTATTTATAATTCAAGGCACATTTAACCAGCATGGCTACCTCAGCATTCTGCAGCGATACACCATCCCATCTGGTTTGCGCTTAGTGTGACTATAATTTGTTTTTCAACAGGACAATGACCCAACACACCTCCAGGCTGTGTAAGGGCTATTTGACCAAGAAGGAGAGTGATGGAGAGCTGCATCAGATGACCTGGCCTCCACACTTACCCGACCTCAATCCAATTGAGAAGGTTTGGGATGAGTTGGCCCGCAGAGTGAAGGAAAAGCAGCCAACAAGTGCTCAGCATATGTGGGAACTCCTTCAAGACTGTTGGAAAAGCATTCCAGGTAAAGCTGGTTGAGAGAATGCCAAGCGTGTGCAAAGCTGTCATCAAGGCAAAGGGTGGCTACTTTGAAGAATCTAAAATCTAAAATATATTTTGATTTGTTTTACACTTTTTTGGTTATTACATGATTCCATATGTGTTATTTCATAGTTTTGATGTCTTCACTATTATTCTACAATGTAGAAAATAGTAAAAAATAAAGAAAAACCCTTGAATGAGTAGGTGTGTCCAAACTTTGACTGGTACTGTATATAAATAATCTCTATATTGTATCAATACTTTATCAACACTGACCACAAGAGGTTCAGAAAACACTAGGTCTAAGATCAGAAAACTCCATGTCTCAGGTGTAGGAGCAGGTCAACGTGCAGGTGTAGGAGCAGGTCAGCTCCTCTGAGGGGGTTAGACAGGCACCGCTGTCACTTTCCACAACTCCTGGAAAAAGAGAATGTCTAACATCGGAATTGGAGTTGATGACAACACAATACATAAAAGACCGTAAATACCCAACTTGAAGCAACCATATATTTAGCCATGGAGCACGTTCTGATTGGCCAGTGAGGGGTCATGCCTTGACACACCTACAACTTATTCATCAAAACCCAGCCCTTTCGCGCCACCGCCAGCTCCTGCGCTCATAATTCCCGCTGTGAAAATAGCTAAACTATTTCAGACACCCGCCCTGGACCTATAGTGCTTCCGCCAGCGCTAAGATTTACCATTGTGTTAGGTTTGTAGATGTACCATTGTGTTAGCTTTGTAGATTTACCATTGTGTTAGGTAGATTTACCTTTGTGTTAGGTAGATTTACCTTTGTGTTAGCTTAGTAGATTTACCATTGTGTTAGCTTAGTAGAGTTACCATTTTGTTCGATTTACCCTTACGTTAGCTTTGTAGAGTTACCATTTTGTTCGATTTACCCTTACGTTAGCTTTGTAGAGTTACCATTTTGTTCGATTTACCCTTACGTTAGCTTTGTAGAGTTACCATTTTGTTCGATTTACCATTGTGTTAGGTTTGTAGATTTACCATTGTGTTAGGTTTGTTAAATGGAGCCCACAATCCCACAGTGTACTAGAAATATAAGGATATAGTACTATAAACATTCTGTTGGGTAGGGGTTTAGGATATAGTACTAGAAACATTATGTTGGGTAGGGGTTTAGGATATAGTACTATAAACATTCTGTTGGTTAGGGGTTTAGGATATAGTACTAGAAACATTCTGTTGGGTAGGGGTTTAGGATATTGTACTAGAAACATTCTGTTGGGTAGGGGTTTAGGATATAGTACTAGAAACATTCTGTTGGGTAGGGGTTTAGGATATTGTACTAGAAACATTCTGTTGGGTAGGGGTTTAGGATATAGTACTAGAAACATTCTGTTGGGTAGGGGTTTAGGATATAGTACTAGAAACATTCTGTTGGGTAGGGGTTTAGGATATAGTACTAGAAACATTCTGTTGGTTAGGGGTTTAGGATATAGTACTAGAAACATTCTGTTGGTTAGGGGTTACTAGGTTCAGTAAAGTGTGTTTCTCACCAGCTGCTCTATGCGCTCATACAGCAGGCACTGTGGGAAGGAGGGGGTGACCTGCTCCACTGTGAAGCATGTCCGGCCGTCCCTTAGCTCCTGCATCTCACACAGACAGTTGCGGAAATGGTTGTAGGCCTCGCAGGATACGTCCAGGTGTCTCAGAGTGAAGTTCAGCCTGGGGAACACACACACACACACACACACACACACACACACACACACACACACAAGTAGGCAAGCACGCGCGCACACACACACACACACACACACACACACATCATTACACAAAGACTAAATGACAAGATGTGGCACATGAGCTGGATTTATTTTTTACATTTAGCATAAATCTAGAATATACAGTGTATATATATATATATATATATATATACACACACACAGTGAGGGAAAAAAGTATTTGATCCCGTGCTGATTTTGTACGTTTGCCAACTGACAAAGAAATGATCAGTCTATAATTTTAATGGTAGGTTTATTTGAACAGTGAGAGACAGAATAACAACAACAAAATCCAGAAAAACGCATGTCAAAAATGTTATAAATTGATTTGCATTTTAATGAGGGAAATAAGTATTTGACCCCCTCTCAATCAGAAAGATTTCTGGCTCCCAGGTGTCTTTTATACAGGTAACGAGCTGAGATTAGGAGCACACTCTTAAAGGGAGTGCTCCTAATCTCAGCTTGTTACCTGTATAAAAGACACCTGTCCACAGAAGCAATCAATCAATCAGATTCCAAACTCTCCACCATGGCCAAGACCAAAGAGCTCTCCAAGGATGTCAGGGACAAGATTGTAGACCTACACAAGGCTGGAATGGGCTACAAGACCATCGCCAAGCAGCTTGGTGAGAAGGTGACAATAGTTGGTGCGATTATTCGCAAATGGAAGAAACACAAAATAACTGTCAATCTCCCTCGGCCTGGGGCTCCATGCAAGATCTCACCTCGTGGAGTTGCAGTGATCATGAGAACGGTGAGGAATCAGCCCAGAACTACACGGGAGGATCTTGTCAATGATTTCAAGGCAGCTGGGACCATAGTCACCAAGAAAACAATTGGTAACACACTACGCCATGAAGGACTGAAATCCTGCAGCGCCCGCAAGGTCCCCCTGCTCAAGAAAGCACATATACAGGCCCATCTGAAGTTTGCCAATGAACATCTGAATGATTCAGAGGAGAACTGGGTGAAAGTGTTGTGGTCAGATGAGACCAAAATCGAGCTCTTTGGCATCAACTCAACTCGCCGTGTTTGGAGGAGGAGGAATGCTGCCTATGATCCCAAGAACACCATCCCCACCGTCAAACATGGAGGTGGAAACATTATGCTTTGGGGGTGTTTTTCTGCTAAGGGGACAGGACAACTTCACCGCATCAAAGGGACGATGGACGGGGCCATGTACCGTCAAATCTTGGGTGACAACCTCCTTCCCTCAGCCAGGGCATTGAAAATGGGTCGTGGATGGGTATTCCAGCATGACAATGACCCAAAACACACGGCCAAGGCAACAAAGGAGTGGCTCAAGAAGAAGCACATTAAGGTCCTGGAGTGGCCTAGCCAGTCTCCAGACCTTAATCCCATAGAAAATCTGTGGAGGGAGCTGAAGGGTCGAGTTGCCAAACGTCATCCTCGAAACCTTTAATGACTTGGAGAAGATCTGCAAAGAGGAGTGGGACAAAATCCCTCCTGAGATGTGTGCAAACCTGGTGGCCAACTACAAGAAACGTCTGACCTCTGTGATTGCCAACAAGGGTTTTGCCACCAAGTACTAAGTCATGTTTTGCAGAGGGGTCAAATACTTATTTCCCTCATTAAAATGCAAATCAATTTATAACATTTTTGACATGAGTTTTTCTGGATGTTTTTGTTGTTATTCTGTCTGTCTCTGTTCAAATAAACCTAGCATTAAAATTATAGACTGATCATGTCTTTGTCAGTGGGCAAACGTGCAAAATCACCAGGGGATCAAATACTTTTTTCCCTCACTGTATATACACACAGTATCAGTCAAAAGTTTGGACATACCTAATCATTCAAGGCTTTTTCTTTATTTTTACTATTTTCTACATTGTAGAATAATAGTGAAGACATACAAACTATGAAATAATACATATGGAATCATGTAGTAACCAATGTAAGTGTTTAACAAATCAAAATGTATTTTATATTTGAGATTCTTCAAAGTAGCCACCCTTTGCCTTGATGACAGCTTTGCACACTCTTGGCATTCTCTCAACCATTGTCCGTAGAGCACAGATCTGGGGAAGCGTACCAAAAAATGTCTGCAGCATTGAAGATCTCCAAGAACACAGTGGCCTCCATCATTCTTAACTGGAAAAAGTTTGGAACCACCAAGACTCTTCCTAGAGCTGGCCGCCCGGCCAAACTGAGCAACCGGGGGAGAAGGGCCTTGGTCAGGGAGGTGACCAAGAACCTGATGGTCACTCTGACAGAGCTCCAGAGTTCCTCTGTGGAGATGGAATAAACTTACAGAAGGACAACCATCTCTGCAGCACTCCACCAATCAGGCCTTTATGGTAGAGTGGCCAGACGGATGCCACTCTTCAGTAAAAGGCAAATGACAGCCCGCTTGGAGTTTGCCAAAAGGCACCTAAAGGACTCTCAGACCATGAGAAACAAGATTCTCTGATCTGATGAAACCAAGATTTGGCCTGAATGCCAAGCATCACGTCTGGAGGAAAACTGGCACCATCCCTACGGTGAAGCATGGTGGTGGCAGCATCATGCTGTGGGGATGTTTTTCAGCGGCAGGGACTGGGAGGCTAGTCAGGATGGAGGTAAAGATGAATGAAGCAAAGTACAGAGAACTCAGGAACTCAGACTGGGGTTAAGGTTCACCTTCCAACAGGACAACGACCCTAAGCACACAGCCAAGACAACGCAAGAGTGGCTTCGGGACAAGTCTCTGAATGTCCTTGAGTGGCCCAGCCAGAGCCCGGACATGAACCCGATCTAACATCTCTGGAGAGACCTGAAAATAGCTGTGCAGTGACACTCCCCATTCTACCTGACAGAGCTTGAGAGGATCTACAGAGAAGAATGGGAGAAACTCCCCAAATACAGGTGTGCCAAGCTTGTAGCGTCATACCCAAGAAGACTAGAGGTAGTAATCGCTGCCAAAGGTGCTTCAACAAAGTACTGAGTAAAGGGTCTGAATACTTATGTAAATGTGATATTTCCGTTTATAATTTTTTTTACATTTCCAAACATTTCGAATAACCTGTTTTTGCTTTGTCATTATGGGATATTGTGTGTAGATTGATGAGGGAAAAAAACTATTTAATAAATTTTAGAATAAGGCTGTAATGTAACAAAATGTGGAAAAGGTCAAGGGGTCTGAATACTTTCTGAATGCACTGTGGTACAGGTATGTTACCTCTTCTCTATAGACAGGTATGTAGTACAGGGGAGATGGAGGTTGTTACAGATTCTGTACAGAGTTCGGAACAGCGCGTCTGTCAGATCGTCATCATAGCACACTGGAATAAATCACAAATAAAGCACCATTTATTCCATTAATATTCCATAGAGATCATTCAGCACCATACCTGTGTTCAGCATCTCTAGCTCTGCTCTGAGTGCTAGTGAATTTGCAGGGGGAAATCCCAACTCAATAGTAAGGTTACATTAGATACCTACAGCATATAGGTAGATCAGTAGGGTCACACCTGATCCCACCTGATAACACCTGAACCCACCTGATAAACACCTGATAAACACCTGATCCCACCTGATAAACACCTGATCCCACCTGATAAACACCTGATCCCACCTGATAAACACCTGATCCCACCTGATAAACACCTGATCCCACCTGATAAACACCTGATCCCACCTGATAAACACCTGATCCCACCTGATAAACACCTGAACCCACCTGATCAACACCTGATCCCACCTGTCTTACCATCAGCCGCGATGATAACCGTTGTGTTGTCATGGAGATCTGCCACTTCATCCTCCGTCCATCCAAACTCTGCATCAGTGTCTGAAACAAGGGATGAATTGAGAAAAGGAGGAGAGATCAGCAGAGAGACCATGGTTTAACATGGTGTGTGTGTTTCTCTATGTGTGTTTGTTTGTCTGTGTGTGTGTGTGTCTCTTTGTGTGTGTGTTTGTTTGTCTGTGTGTGTGTGTGTAGCCTACCCACCTGTGCAGAGATCGTGTCTGAGCCAGTCCAGTAGACGTACTCGCACCTCCCCACCTGTTAAAGAGACAACACTATAATACTCAATACTATCACCTCCCCACCTGTTAAAGATACAACACTATAATACTCAATACTATCACCTCCCCACCTGTTAAAGATACAACACTATAATACTCAATACTATCACCTCCCCACCTGTTAAAGATACAACACTATAATACTCAATACTATCACCTCCCCACCTGTTAAAGAGACAACACTATAATACTCAATACTATCACCTCCCCACCTGTTAAAGAGACAACACTATAATACTCAATACTATCACCTCCCCACCTGTTAAAGATACAACACTATAATACTCAATACTATCACCTCCCCACCTGTTAAAGATACAACACTATAATACTCAATACTATCACCTCCCCACCTGTTAAAGATACAACACTATAATACTCAATACTATCACCTCCCCACCTGTTAAAGAGACAACACTATAATACTCAATACTATCACCTCCCCACCTGTTAAAGAGACAACACTATAATACTCAATACTATCACCTAACCAGGTAAAACTCTGTTCCCTGTAGGGTATGACCGGGATTAATAAATTGTAAAACGGTTTTATATGGGCTATGATGGGACCAGCATTTTTCTAAAATCAGGTCATATGGGTTTTATAAAACTGCTGGAAAAACTCCTGGTCCTAGGGAGGATGAAAACTCTGTCGAACTGCAGCAATCTTGCACTTGTTCATATGAATTCCATGTAAAGACTAACAGGGTTGTACAGACACAGAGACAACAACTGTGATTGCACAATAGAACTAACAGGGCTGAGCTGGCTGTATGCAGGGTTGCATTATGTACGCCTTCGCATCTGTAATTAAAAAGGTGAATCACACAGTCTGTCATCACTATTGTGTTGATAGATTTTCCAGTTCATAATGTTGGATTAACCATGTCTAGGTAGGATTAACCATGTCTAGGTAGGATTAACCATGTCTAGGTAGGATTAACCATGTCTAGGTAGGATTAACCATGTCTAGGTAGGATTAACCATGTCTAGGTAGGATTAACCATGTCTAGGTTGGATTAACCATGTCTAGGTAGCCTAGCTAGCTGAAGTTTGAATATAAACCACATTTGATGACCTTAAATGATTTTCTCCTAACACAAATAAAAGGGCTATAAATAGATAAGGTTAGCGGTTGGTTTACCCTGTCAGAAAGGACAGGGCCACAGCAGGCTGTATTCGGTAGGCCAGTTGATCAGACTGGTAAAACCATCTCCTTTTGATCCCATACAGCATGTCAGACTGGTAAAACCATCTCCTTTTGATCCCATACAGCATGTCAGACTGGTAAAACCATCTCCTTTTGATCCCATACAGCATGTCAGACTGGTAAAACCATCTCCTTTTGATCCCATACAGCATGTCAGACTGGTAAAACCATCTCCTTTTGATCCCATACAGCATGTCAGACTGGTAAAACCATCTCCTTTTGATCCCATACAGCATGTCAGACTGGTAAAACCATCTCCTTTTGATCCCATACAGCATGTCAGACTGGTAAAACCATCTCCTTTTGATCCCATACAGCATGTCAGACTGGTAAAACCATCTCATTTTGATCCCATACAGCATGTCAGACTGGTAAAACCATCTCCTTTTGATCCCATACAGCATGTCAGACTGGTAAAACCATCTCCTTTTGATCCCATACAGCATGTCAGACTGGTAAAACCATCTCCTTTTGATCCCATACAGCATGTCAGACTGGTAAAACCATCTCCTTTTGATCCCATACAGCATGTCAGACTGGTAAAACCATCTCCTTTTGATCCCATACAGCATGTCAGACTGGTAAAACCATCTCCTTTTGATCCCATACAGCATGTCAGACTGGTAAAACCATCTCCTTTTGATCCCATACAGCATGTCAGACTGGTAAAACCATCTCCTTTTGATCCCATACAGCATGTCAGACTGGTAAAACCATCTCCTTTTGATCCCATACAGCATGTCAGACTGGTAAAACCATCTCCTTTTGATCCCATACAGCATGTCAGACTGGTAAAACCATCTCCTTTTGATCCCATACAGCATGTCAGACTGGTAAAACCATCTCCTTTTGATCCCATACAGCATGTCAGACTGGTAAAACCATCTCCTTTTGATCCCATACAGCATGTCAGACTGGTAAAACCATCTCCTTTTGATCCCATACAGCATGTCAGACTGGTAAAACCATCTCCTTTTGATCCCATACAGCATGTCAGACTGGTAAAACCATCTCCTTTTGATCCCATACAGCATGTCAGACTGGTAAAACCATCTCCTTTTGATCCCATACAGCATGTCAGACTGGTAAAACCATCTCCTTTTGATCCCATACAGCATGTCAGACTGGTAAAACCATCTCCTTTTGATCCCATACAGCATGTCAGACTGGTAATGGTTTGGTGTAGGCTGCTGCAACATTTCTGTTAAGAGTTTTTGCTTGTGTCTAGACTCGGCAGGTAGCTTAGTGGTTAAGAGCGTAGTGCCAGTAACCGAAAGGTCGCTGGTTCTAATCCCCGAGCCGACTAGGTGAAAAATCTGTCGATGTGCCCTTGAGCAAGGCACTTAACCCTAATTGCTCCTGTAAGCCGCTCTGGATAAGAGCGTCTGCTAAATGACTAAAATGTAAAATGTAAATGTTGTCAAGTTGGCTAAATAAATAGCCCTATTCTTTAGTGCGTGCCACTGTGAACTGTGATTTCTGGGAATCTGGTTTGTCAAGAAAAATACAACCACGAGTTGACAATTCATGAGGCAAATCAGTCTAAAAAAAAACATGACTTTGTCCCTCATCTTAAACCTTTGCATGAATATTTTTTATTAAACTATATGAAAAGTGGTGAGGCGCTGCCCGACCTGATTGAAAATTGCTGGGGCAAATGCCAGCTGGCCACACGTTTGCCCGCAGCCCTGGGCTAAACGTAACAAATGTTCTCTCACCTGCAGGCTCCATCAGGTGTCTGTTTAAAATCATGTTCTTCTGGCACATGCTCAGTAGGTCCTCCCCAACGTCTGCAACACAACATTCCACAGATATTGGGATTTTACACAGCATTTATATAACTTTAAAACTTAACAGAGACATTGGGCTTTAAACATTACAGAGACATTGGGCTTTAAACATCCCAAAAATAAAACATTTTAAATAGAACCAACAGGGCAAAAAAATGATAAATGTAATTAAGAACAGCTTGCTAACATACTAGCTCATCAATTCTTACGATGATTCTAACCTTGGTTCACTGAAGCCTGGTAACTACCATGTAGAATGGTTTCTGCATCAGAGATGATTCTGACCTTGGTTCATTGAAGCCTGGTAACTACCATGTAGAATGGTTTCTGCATCAGAGATGATTCTGACCTTGGTTCATTGAAGCCTGGTAACTACCATGTAGAATGGTTTCTGCATCAGAGATGATTCTGACCTTGGTTCATTGAAGCCTGGTAACTACCATGTAGAATGGTTTCTGTATCAGAGATGATTCTGACCTTGGTTCATTGAAGCCTGGTAACTACCATGTAGAATGGTTTCTGTATCAGAGATGATTCTGACCTTGGTTCATTGAAGCATGGTAATTACTACAGTATAATATAGTATAGTACAGGCTACAGTATAGTATAGGCTACAGTATAGTATAGGCTACAGTATAGTATAGGCTACAATATAGTATAGGCTACAGTATAGTATAGGCTACAATATAGTATAGGCTACAGTATAGTATAGGCTACAGTATAGTATAGTATAGGCTACAGTATAGTATAGGCTACAGTATAGTACAGGCTACAGTATAGTATAGTATAGGCTACAGTATAGTATAGGCTACAGTATAGTATAGGCTACAGTATAGTATAGGCTAAAGTATAGTATAGTATAGTATAGGCTACAGTATAGTATAGGCTAAAGTATAGTATAGTATAGTATAGGCTACAGTATAGTATAGGCTACAGTATAGTACAGGCTACAGTATAGTATAGTATAGGCTACAGTATAGTATAGGCTACAGTATAGTATAGGCTAAAGTATAGTATAGTATAGGCTACAGTATAGTATAGGCTACAGTATAGTATAGGCTACAGTATAGTATAGGCTACAGTATAGTATAGGCTACAGTATAGTATAGGCTACAGTATAGTATAGGCTACAATATAGTATAGACTACAGTATAGTATAGGCTACAGTATAGCATAGGCTACAGTATAGTATAGTATAGGCTACAGTATAGTATAGTATAGGCTACAGTATAGTATAGGCTACAGTATAG